CCTTGATTATTACTCGTTGCTTGCACTTAATTTGGGATTTAAAACTTTTATCTCAACAAATGTCAGTATGCTCAATTGTTGATATACGACTTTATACTGGCTGAGATAAGGTTATAATGGATTGTATAACCTTACATTATTATTTCAGGCTTCTTGTTTGTGGGGAAATACATCTTTAATAATGATGAGGTAGAAAAAAATACCTCACCTGAGGGAGAACTGAATAGAAATACCTTTCTAAGTCTATTCTGGGGACATCTTTTAAAGACTTCAAGGATATGGTTCTGATGGTCACTTAGTACAGTTTGACACATTGAAGGAAATTATTGCGTCTTCGAAGTCAAACTCGATGTTCATTCCACACAGTCCAGGCATTCTTAAGGACATTGCTTCTCATATCAGGGATGGTCTTCTTCAAGGTAACTCTGCTTTGTAGATATGTCAAAATCCAAAGCATTCTTCAGGATTTAGTTGTGTTGCTACTGATTTTATCAAAGACCAATGCATCGTATGTCTTGAAGGGTGTAAGGTGATCAGAGTTTCAAAGGAGAGCAAGCAATTTCTTATGTATCTGAATAATGTTTAGAATTTACTTTTTATTTTTAATGAAATGTTAAATTTATTAAAGGGAGGAAATAATGACTATTTATAAGCTGGAGAAAATTTGGATGAAAGAAAAAATAAGCAAAGAATGATTCTATTTTTAAATTGAACAAAGGACGAGTTAGAAACTAAAGTAGGTGCCACTATTCTATAAATATTTAACAAAAGACAAGAACATCTTCGGAGGGGAGATATATGGAAGAGGAGATGGACACAAGAATCATAAGCACAACTTAACAAAAAACAAAAAGAACAAGATACTTCCTTAGAAGTATCCTCATGCAAAGCTATACTTAGGAAAAGAGTTCCCACACCACTATCCCTAGAAACTCTACCCATTTTCTCATCCATTACATAAAGATTGGACATGTATCATGATCTTTAAATGTGGTTTCAAACATAGCACCCTAACTTCTCAAATCAATTTACTCTCCAATGGTAGCCTAAATTAGGTGTCAGAGAGTTCTCAGGAGGTAAACCTGTTATCATCCTCCGAAGACCGTCCTGACGATATTATTGATGCAGGGTCCAACACATCTAGAGGATCATCATTGCTATCTCATCAGAGACGGTAACTTAGGCAAATACGTCATTGAGGTTATATATAAACTTAATGAATCATTTTAAACGTTTCCTTCAAAATACATTCACAAAAATATAAAAAATAAAAGTATATTTTCAGTAATTAAATATGATAAATGTGGGTATGGAAAAAGAGAGTAACGATGGTAGTTGTTTTTTAAAATATTAGAAAGAAAAGACAACCTTATTAATTAGAAAAAGCTTATTATTTAAATATGAATAGTAAGTTCATGTCTCTACAAAGACGATAAATTAGACATACGTATTTCTCATAGGACATTACAAGATTTTTGCGATATATCTATGATCTGGAATGGTGTATGTGAAATATGATTAAAAAATATTAGGGTTAAAGAGTGGAAACACAGGACAGTCCACCGCAAGAAAAGACAAAAAAATATTATTTTATTTCTTCAAAATTTTATTTCAAATCCGAACAATAAAAACATATCAACTTGAAGTCCATCGATCAAGTTTTTCTATGAATTTACGGAATGTGAATATCTTATTGTTTCTTTCAATGATTATGTGTAGGGTCAAAATTGAGTCATTCATAATATGGTGTTATGACCCTAATCAAAGACTATGATGGCGTAATGCTACATAAAAAAACTTAAAACTTTTTTTTTTTTTTTTGAAAAAGATTTTCTATTTAAAACATGAGACCAGCAAATGTTACATGGCCTGAGGCCCAGTTGACTAAATAGCCTTTTTCATAAACACACAAGAACCAAAATTGAATCAAAGATGAGAGAGCCTATGAATGCCCAATATCGAAACCATATCTTTGTAGTTGATTATCGAAGAGTCAAGGGAAGAGATAATAATTTGTAGAAATCGATTTCGTTTCTCCTGAGGTTATGCCGTGGAGAACCAAAACTGTATTAATGCCGAGGCAATTGATGGTTGAGTCAGACGAAGACTAGAGATGCGATTCCTTACCAAACGGTCAATATCCCTGTTGATAGTTGTGACCGGTTTGTAGGAGCTGCGATGAAGGCGGCTGTTTCGTTCTAGCCAGATCAGGTACAAAGTGGCTTGCCAAGCAATCAACAAGAGCTTACGTGATGGTTTGGGAGATTTGTAACATTTTAATTGTTGTAGGATCATGTCCCAATTTCGTTGTGGAAGAAGGTCGCAT